AAAATGGCAAAATTTTACTTATTTATGAGCTTAAAAACTAATTAAATAATGCTTGTATTTAATACCTATCAGTGGATGCTCCAAAGCAACTTCTTTTCCTCCTTGCGTCTTCTCTCTCAAAAAAATCGTTTCGAAGGTAATGTCCAGATCTGTATGCGACAAAACCTAAAAAATAGAAGCATAAAATAAAGTTTGCAAGATTGCAGCATCGCGTCCACTTGTTGCACTCTTCACGGTTTTGCAAGATCGTATCTAATTGGTTTACTACCTCTTTGTTAAAGAAAAGAAAACAATAAGATTTGAGAGCGAGGAAACAATGAGCATTGTTTTATTCCTACAATCACAGAAGACCTTACAAACTCGTGGAGGTTTATAACAGCATTTTTTTGGCATTATAGCCGGATAGACGTCTTAATATGTATTCGTTTTTCGCGGGGTAAGAGCAATGCACTAAAATTAAGGTGAATCATCATCGTCTGAAAGCTACCGATTCGGCAGTTATTTTTTTATTTACCCTTATATAAAACCCAGAATCTCTCGACATTCAAATGATATTAGCTTAATAGGAAAATTTTAATTTACTTGAATGTCCTGAACATCGCCAGGATCAAATCTCCATCTTCCTTTCGTGGGTTTATAAATGGTCCAAACTCGATAGATATCGTTGTCTATTTCAGGGAGTTTTTGGTAGTCGTTTGGATTGAACAGTTTGATTCCCCTGTTGTCATGTTTAGCTTGGATGTCGATAGTTCCACATTGTGCAATATCATCAATCACAAACTCTCCAACGCTTATTTCAATCCCCCGCTTTGGCTTGCTTTGTCTCTTAACATTCCTGCTAACGATGGTAAAAGTGCCTACAAGATTTTTCTTGACCTTATTTTCAATCTTTTTCAAGTCTTTTCTCACGGATGAATAACCACCCCTGATCAGCCAAAGAAACCCTCCAGTTGACCATATGATAGACTTGTATCTGCCTTTCGATTTTGTCGAGCAGTAGGGCTTCATTACAAAAACATTGACAGACATTTTGTTCCTCTTAGCGTGATATTTGGCGCTTTCCAAAGTATACTCTCCAAAGGGTCTCGGCAAGTTGTTTGTGAATACGAATATAGGAGAGCTTTTTCTTGGGTAACCTTGTGTTATTCCTCTGATAATGCCGGCATAAGTTGGCTGAAAGCAGTCAGCTTCCTTATTTTCCTCTGGAAACTCGCTGTTACCGAGGTCGTCAAGAGCTTTTTCGAATTCAGCAAGGGTTCCATAAGTTTTAACATCACCAATCAGACTACGATCATCGGTACCTACAATGTAGAATGAACAGTAAAGGCTGATTTACACGGTACGATTTGCCGCGTATACGATTTTCCTACTACAAGTCGTAGGATTTTAAGCAGTTGTTCAAAATCCTACTACAAGTCGTACACTGCGCGATTCAAGTCGTATACTAAAAATCGCACGAGACAATCGTGCCGTGTAAATCATTCTTAACGAATAGCTCAGATAACGCACACAATTATATAAACAAATCCTTAAGTTTGTGGAAGAATCTTTTGGTGAAATCTAAGATAACTGAATATCTACTGCACTGACAAAAGGGCTTCTCAAATCTTTTTTCATATGCACATTATGTCGATAGCCATTCATGTCTATCAATATTATCGTGCTTTAATTCATACCCATTGAAAACGTTGACAAGACATAGTCGACATCCGATTTGTAATCATATCTGGCAATATCTTTGGCGACCGCTATAGCCGTGCCAATATTTGTTTTCATCCTCCTACCGATGTCCACCACAAAAGTTAAAGTCAGCTTGCCATCGGCGTTTATTAGTTTCTGTTGATTTAAAGTGTAAAAAAACCCTCAAAACTACAAAAGTTTGATAAGAGCAGTGAAGCAGGGAGCAAGAAGTAACAAAACTGCACATTTAGGAGCACGGNTACTCTGATCAAAACACGCGGGATGTAGGGAGAGCACGAGAGAAGCGTAGGAAACCACGACGCGTAGTCGTAATTAATTCATACCCATTGAAAACGTTGACAAGACATAGTCGACATCCGATTTGTAATCATATCTGGCAATATCTTTGGCGACCGCTATAGCCGTGCCAATATTTGTTTTCATCCTCCTACCGATGTCCACCACAAAAGTTAAAGTCAGCTTGCCATCGGCGTTTATTAGTTTCTGTTGATTTAAAGTGTAAAAAAACCCTCAAAACTACAAAAGTTTGATAAGAGCAGTGAAGCAGGGAGCAAGAAGTAACAAAACTTAGTGTACATTCAGGAGCACGGAACTGAAATCAGCAAAAGTACTGTCAATATAGAAAGCACATAATGCAGCACAAAACAAGAAAACCTCACCAAATGCAAAAATTATCACTGGCATTGTGCAAAACAGAATATAGAAATACTGAGTATCATTAGAATGATACAATGCTCCATGGCAGACATGACTTGCATAGTATCATCACATTACCTTGAATCCTTCATTCCCGATTTCGTTTTTGAGTTCTTTAGCAATTCCTCCAATAGCAACCATTTTGTTGAGCAAGGAGTACCCCAAACAAATTTCTAGCATATTTGACTTTACGGTATGTGCTGACCAGAAGCGAATCTTTAATCTTCTCAATCAAGAAATCCTTATTTAAGTCTGGATCAATTTTTTTGAAACGTTTATTATTCATGACTGAAGAAGGAACAGAAAAAAAATTAATGATTTTTTTTAACGGTCGATGTTGACAGTGTTAACAAAAAGTTAACGTTTATTCATTGTTTACCTTTCCATATTTCAGAAAAAGTTGCAATCTGATTGTTATTGACTACTATTGTAGGGTCGAACACATTTAGGAGCTGTATCAAGAAGCCATCGAAACTGCAGGGGTCTAAAACAGAAACAAACCGAAGTACAAGTGCTTGGTCGAAGAATATGTCCACAACAGCCATTAACATACAAAAAAATCTTTCGCGATTCTGACTTAGTGATTATTATTGATTTTACTTACGTGGACAGTTAGTACTGTTGCAACTGCGAATAAGTGGATCTCCGATACAGTCCTTTCCATCAAGGTCGCCACAAGTACGAGTTCTTTTTTGTGTTCCATTATGCCCACAAACTTGATCACAAGCTGACCAGGGTCCATATCCAGACAAACCTCCATCAAGCTTTTCCTCTACGAGCAAATTTATTTTGAAAGTCAAGTACAAAATATTCAGGGCTATCTAAGCTTTAGATAATCCTATCAGAATTAATGTTCATCATGTTTTTAGTGTGCACGTATTGTGCACGCTCAAGCAGCAGTACCATTTAGTAACAAAAAAGTATTATAGAGTAATAATACTACAAATAATGCTATAGCGTTTGGCAAATGTGAACTGAACAATTTCCACTTCAACATCCATTTTCGKAAAATTTAYACTCTGGAGACCACAAAAGATATTTCGCATCATGATGACGAAGATTCAATTCGTGTTAAATCGCCTTCGTTATTCAAGTTTCTAAAATGACTTTTGTGAGATTCTCGTATCTTAACTCCCCAACTGCATATGGTTAGATGGGAGTTAAATTTATCCGTGGGTCAATGAGCGAGAAAGAACCCGAACACTATTTCTGTAAGAGTAGACTTCCCAGTTATGTTGGCAGAGATTGTTACGATAATTAACAATCAAATAAATAATATACAATACAAAAAAGTCATGAAGCGATACAGCTTTTACAAACAACCCAACAAACCACAGAGATCAAACATACGAGCTTTCTGTTGACGTCCTTGTACATAAATGATAACCATTCCTGCCAATACAGCGTAAAGTGCGTTCCTTGCCATAAAAGTAGAAGAAAGGTTCTTAACGGATGATTGATAAAAATCTTCAAATGTCTTCCCACACGCAAACGTTTTTCTGGCTACAAAAACAGAGGACTTTCGCAACTACCTATGACCACCAACCACGTTGCTTATATTTGGCACAAAACATAATTGATATACATACGTAAGTGTACATTTCTGAGATCTGAATAAACAGATAATACAATAGCACATAAATACCACTTATTCTATTTATCTATTTTGAAAGATTTGAAATTAAACCTACTGTTTATTTACCTTTTTATGTTTTTTCAATCATTAACGTCATTCTTTTTTTTTCTTTTTTTTTTGCATTTCTACTCTGAATCATTTTTCTCTTTTTGAGGATAACTGGATCCCCTTCCCTCAAATAAACCAATTATGGASTAATATATTTAGAGCAAGTTTTAAACAATTTGAAATTATCGAAATTATTCTTGAGAAAATCACCTCTAGGCATTGACCGTCATGCCTTTGTTTTAAGCAAACAATTTTTAATACCATACTAAACTCTATTTACACAGATTTTAGAAAATATAACTATTTATGTAGGACCGTTCTATTGTAGTTTGAGATATTTTTTCATGGAGGTCCTTAATTATGAGGCATCTTATGAGGCTTGCGAATGGTTAAAACACTGTCATTGAGAAAAAACAACATTTGCACCAAAGGGGGCAACTCGAGACAGGACCCTTTCTTATGTCTTTCTGTAATTAATATGTTTGTTTGATGAGGTTACTTTTAAACATTAAAATATCTAAAGATCTGTCATACCAATTATCCATTCATCATCTATTTTGTTTCGTTCTTTTTTTCCCCTCGTAGCTCAGTAATTTTAGTAATTGAGCTCTTCCGCGATAACCAACTATGTTTAGGTGTCTTTAACCCTTTACCGCTCCTGTTTAGGGATTATACGGTCGCCGGTGAACTATGTTTCTAAAAAATTGTAAGTTTCCGAGATTGCAAATTAAGACCACCAAATGTGCTACAGAAAACAGCTAGTAATGAAACTCTATCTTAAAGTTGAAAACATTTAACATCTAGCACAATATCTGGAAAAAAGGACCCTTAAAAAAAAGGAATGCCCAAATTTCGACTTTGTGGTGCACMCGTCTCTTCGTGTTAGGTGTTAGAGTCAAAATCGCCTTTTGCAAATCGAAATTCTACGTATGCTATCTTTAGCATTTTTGAATTTTTTTTTTTWAAGTCTCTACAGACCTAGCCACAGCCCCCTTTTCGAGAAACAGCACAGCAAACTCAGATTTCTCACCTGTGCGTCCGAACTGCATTATGGGAAACGTGGTTCAAACTATACAGGGTGCGACCAACCATCCTATTTTCATAACTTTTATTTTAAGTGACAAGCCACTCGCACCTACCGGAAAAATATTGCACTGATTGCAGTCTTTTGATGTTAAAACCTGCCAATTTTACCTTGGTAGGTTCTGAAATTTGCCACAGAACGACTAGGAACGTGACCTTTCTCTTACGTCGGCCGTTAAAGCTAACTTCGTATTGGCGACATTGTCTTCGAAAAAGCGCTTCCCGCTTCTGATTTCTTCCAGAAGAGTGGCTCTACCACCTAGTAGAGCTTTATAATGCAGTCTTAGGGGCTTCTGKTGCAGCACAAATMACTTAAAAACGGTTTTTGGGCGAATTTGAGAGCGAGTGCTGGCTAGTTTTAGCGAACAGTCTCAACTTCACCGGGTGTCGCTGATGTAAACAAACTCATAGGAATGTGAATCTACAATAGTTTGATTGACATCTCCTTATATGGTGTAGATTTAATGTTATCACTCTCAAAAACAGCCTAAAATCCCCCACAAAAATTGTTGCATTAAAGGGTTAAATTAAGACTGTAAGACTGACTCTTAACCAGCTCTGACATGAGAATCGATCGCAACAAATTCCGAGCTCATTCCGATAATAGACTTTCTAGAATGTGATCGATGTACATTTGAGTAYTGTCAGGATTCTTGARTTCTTCCGCGATACCCAACTATGTTTAGTGTCTTTAAATATAAAACTGACGCCAACCATCTCTAAACACATTAAGTCTTATGTTAARTCGYAGGGAGACACCCAATAAAACAAATGTTGAAACCCTTCTTCATTCCCATCTTAGTTCTTTCACAATACTCCAGTTTCGAATGCATAGCCAAAAACCGCTGCTTTTTTGACAACAGACTGACCAGACCTGACCAAACACAAAAGAGAGCATGAGAAAATGCCGTTATTACTAACAATAGCCTTGAAAATTTGCWTTTGCCCCAAGTTTAGGCTAACCCTGTATTCCCATAAGACCTAAAGTATGATCCTTCTGGGAATACAAGGTTAGCCTGAACTCGGGGAAAATGCAAATTTTCAAGGCTATTGTACTTACAACATTTTCTCATGTTTTCTTTTGTATTTGGTAAGTTATTTGCGTAAGAGAATCTGCTATCAAATAATACAGCGGTTATTGGCTTTGAATTCGAAAATAGAGTATWGGTATGAAACCTCTYTTCTTCCATAGRMTTCCATAGAAATCTAATAATACACAGAATACTTTTCCAGTGTGATTTTATTGGTGTTTTTCTCTACATTTCAGAATATTAATCCTTCACTGTGAAGGGCCCATCCTGAAAGTTAATCTCAACATCTCCGCTCTTAATTGTTATCGTAACGGTAAAGTCACCACTGGCTGGTGCAGTCAGGTCTTTGGAGATCGGATTCTTGCCCTTTTTAATGACCTTATCAAATCCGTTATCGCTACCTCCTGAAGTTGTCCTGATATTTATACGAAASTTCCTAGGCTTCGTAGCAGAGTAGATAATGGAGGCTCTATAGGTGAACTTTTTTCCCGCGTCTGGAGAAAGCCAAGGGAGCATGTTGGACGTGATATCTGCAATTTTGGGTTGAATGGMAACTGATTCTCTCGTGAAGTCGAACCCTGACTGAGTTTTGCCACGTAAAGCTAAGGTGAAGGTTTTCTTTGTAAGGGGTTTCTTGGATTCATAAATGTAGGAATCGTCTTTATTGGATACAAGATTCCAGTCTGCCTGATCGYCTAAATATATACTTGTCTTTAAAAGTCGCGATATGTTTGGGATGACTATTTTCACTTTGGCTTTTTCACCTGAAGTAGAAAAATACATATTACATATTTTCTCTTAGTATACCAAGCAGCACGACCAAATAAACGCGATGTCTATAAGCATTCATTAATTTAAAAAAGTAATTAATACCATTTATTTCATACTTGATTCAGTTTCCTTTGTAATTCATAGTGTTGTATCTCGCTTATTCCCCAGCTCGTTGTGTACAGCCTTTTGCAAAAATTATGAGAATTGTCGAAATATCTAAATATCATAATATCAATTGCATGATGGGTAAACCCGCGCGATTCCCTTTGTCCTTTGTCTTTGTAGTTTAGTTTTTTTCGGCGGCGACGGACTTATCCRWAGTTCTGAACATTTTCTCGATGTCAACAATGAATTATTCTAGCAAACCCGCGTGTTCGTGACAAAGGGCTGCGCGCGGAATTACCCATCATGCACTTGATATTATGAAATTTAGATATTTCGACAATTCTCATAATTTTTGCTGCATTCAAGTGCTTTATATCGAAGTTTCAGGGATATATCTAGTTATTATATGGCTTAGATAGTACGCGCGCTCTGATTGGCTGTTGACAGATAATGACCGGTCGGTATTTTCTAAACCAGCTTTGACTTTCTGATTAAGACGAAGAAAAAACACAATTTGAAACGCATTGCAAAACAAAGATATCCTTTTAGTTCGTTTACGAAAAAAATAAATGTTTGAAAATTTTTTATTTGCAAAATGAGAGACAACGAAAACTACAGTCAAAGTGAATTTATTTAGCTTAACATGTAAGTTTTTGACGAGATTAGTGCGAAAGCCGACAAAATGCCTAGCAAACAGACGAAAACCATTATATTTTTAGTACCAAACCGACGAAAATGACCAAAATCATTATATTTTTAGTAATTGTCTGCAAAAATGAGGGAATAATGGCTCCTTATTTCATAGATTCAGTTAATTTTCATGCACAAATACATTATTACAGTCTACTCACAAACTTTTCAATGATTCTTCTATCGACAAGGCCGGTGTAGGTTTGTTTATTAATTCTTCGATGTGGATGTCCCTCAATATTGAATTACAATTTTCTTCTCTTTCTCCAGCAACCGAGGAGTTATTGCATTGAGCAATTGCAAAAGTAAACTTGATAGACGACGGTTATGTCCCACGAATTGCTTGAAAGTTTGCCTGTTTTCAGCTGTTTTCATTGAGAAAGCTTGGCATTTGAACGAGTTCACACTGACTCAAAATTCCTTCAACTGGACTTCCAGGTTTTTGCTCTTTTTTTCTAGTCAACGAGCTCATTGAATTTTTAAGAGGAGGATTTCATTCTCAGCTTTTCTTGTCAAAACACCGGTTTGAATCCCTTCGGCTTTTCACTTTTGTTTTGAGTAGTCTGTAGAGGTATGTTCTGGCTTCTTTTGAGCTTTTACATCCTGACACATCGTTTTTTTCTTCCAATACAATCCTTTTTGAGCTATCTTTAAATTATGGTGAATACTTATCGAGCATTTCTAAGCTGTCATTAGACTATGCTTGCCGTCCTCATGAGTAACCAGTTGAGTCAACCACTTCCCTCGCCGTTCATACATCAAATCCAAGTGCTTTAAGTAGCATTTTCGGTGGAGCTAACATCAGCAAAATNTCGAAAGTGATCTCCAACTTTACTTGCGACTTGAACTATAACCAACATACGTCAGAAAATGATCTTTGGTCTCATTACTTCTCTCAACTCTAAGGAATATAATTTTCTCTTATTTCTAWTTCCTACAGATTGCTTGATTTGATATAATAGATGGATTATAGTTGTTTTCAGAAAAGTGTATTGGTATCACGCAAAACGACAACAACAGCTACATTCGATCTAATTCTACACATTAAACAACGAATAAATCACATTTTACCTTAACTTTGAATTTTTTAACAGAAATAAATCTCCATTTTCCTTTCATTGGTCTGAGAATGGTCCARAACAGGGTATTATCAACATCTGTTTCAGGATGTTTTTGGACRTCTTTTGGATTGAACAATTTAATCTCTTTCTGGTTTCCTTCCGCCTCAATCTCGATCCTACCTTCAGCCATGATGTCATCAACAACAAATTCTTTTTGGTATTCTTTTTGGATATTTCGCTTGTGGTTGTGTTTTGCATTGATGACACGACCACTTGCGACCGAMGAAGTGCCATCAAGACTATTCTTAACCAACTGTTCTAGCTTACTCATGGAAGGTGCGCTTTTGAAGGTCAGAGCAAATCCACCTGTTGCTTCAGCAATTGCCTTGTAATGAGACTTCGGTTTAGGAGCACAAAAGGGTTTGGGAAGAAAAAAGTTGACTGGCATCTTATTCCTCTGTGCATGATATATGGCGTTATCCTTGGTAAACTCTCCAAAGGGCTTCGGCGGAGCATTTGTAAATACATACATAGGTGAACCTCGTTCTGGATGACCTTGTGTTATCCCTTTGATGATTCCGGCGTACGTTGGCTCACGGCAGTCACCTCCATGCYCTACCCGACCAGCAAGATTGTCAAGGGACTGTATGAATTTAAAGAGGTTGTCGAAGGTTTCAACATCAGTACTTGCCACCGTACCATGACTACTTTCAACTGAGTGCAAAATAATAAAAATTAGCGTCCTGCAAAGTTGTTATTTAAATGTCTTTGGTGGGTCCTAAAATAGTTTAACTACTCGGTCACGTGAACTTCAGAGTGGTAGTCCGTTCGTTCAAGCCAGTCCTAGGGACTATCAACTGTGCCTCGCGGTCTAATATATTGTTGAGTAGTTAAATCAAAGATGGAACTAGCAATTACGAAATCCTTAATCTTCTGACGGGAAATTTTCGTGCAAACTCGCTGACGAAAGGAAATCAGAAAGTGGTAAATTCTGATTCTGACTTAATTTTAAATTGTAAGTTGGGTAAATGGGTATAAAAAAGTCATAATAAGAATTTTTGTATACATTAGGTGTCCGTGCAGAGTATCAAAAACGAAATTTAAGGACTTTTCAAGGACTTTTCAAAAACCAAAATTGTATTTTTAAGAAACATCATAATCATGCTAATTGTATATTCTTACCTCACAACTTCAGCCGAACGGAATAATTCAAAGATCGCTAGCTCTTCGTGAGATCTATCTTTTTCAAGGAAATTTTCAATTTTCCGAAATTTTTCAATTTTCAAGGAGTTTCAAGTGCCCTTTCAAGGATTTTTAAATCCTTAAAAGGAACTGCACGGACCCTGATAAAAATTCCAGGATTTCGAGTCATACCCTCAGTAAATGTTGACAAAACGTAGTCGACGTCAGAGATATATTTATATTTAGAAATGTTTTTAGCAATCTCTGTAGCTGCAATGATAACTGGCTTCATGCTCCTGGTGATGTCCATCACAAAAGATAAAGTAACTTTGCCATCCACATTGATCAGTCTCTGATAAAAAAAGCAATATGATGTGAATAACCTGCACAGCACACAAAACTGCAAGGCGGAATAGGATTGTTAAACAAACAATGCAATGGGACATGTTCAGGCAGCWCAGCCCGGATTCTGTGGCTTAGCATAACTTGTGGATAAAGCCGTGTCTCAGCAGCGAGGATTTCTGACAAAAGGCACAATATTTCAGCAAAGATTTGTCCAACTTCAAAGCCCAGACAACACAGTTCGGCCTAGCAATTTATATAAGCCGTTTAAAACACTCGAGATCGTGTTTTAAACTATACATATACATATATCAGTCTGCAAACTAGGAATTAATTTTGGATCAAATAGTTAAGGTAAACAAATAAATAAGACTCTGCCGTGGTTTATACTTATACTTTACGCTTGGCATTTGAAACACACGAGAAAATGCATCAAGAAGCACGAGATGAAAACGAGCAAAATTTTGAGCAAAACTTCAGCAAAAATCAATTTTGTTGCCGTTTTCAAAAATCGCTTGCGCACAATCGTGATTTATACTCTACTAAACTACACTTTTTTTGGCCAATCAGAGCGCGCGTTAGAATTCATCTATATAATAAAAGGTATTATACAAAGCCCATMAAAACACAACGTAATACAACCTTGAATCCTTCATTCCCGATTTCATTTTTGAGTTCTTTTACAACTTTTCCATAATTGCAATCTTTTTGTCGTGCAAACAGTACCCCCAAMAGAATTCTAGCACGTTTGACTTTACTGTATGCATTGCGGCGGCCCTGAAGCGAAGCTTTAATCTTCTTAATCAGAAAATTCTTGCTAACATTTGAAGCATAATTTTTGGAGACAGCACTTTCCTTKGCTATAAATAATTGATAATGGTGTAAGAACTAGTATTTACAAATAACATAGATAATGGTGTAAGAATTAGTATTAACAAATAACATAGATATTTGAATAATAATATAATATAAAACACAAAGCGAAATTCGCGCGTGGCTCGAATYTGTTTTAATTTTGACTGCTCTCAAAACTTGGCTTCTATACAATGTTAGAAAGTACGAAAGTACAAGTATGAAATCACGCCTATTGTCGTAATGGCTTCGTGTCTCCGTAACAAAATGAAATGTAACAATTGAATTGTTTTTGACATGTCACAAATCAATTCCTAACACATGCATAAAGYTAATTTCTGAACTTGTGCTCATACAAATCTGATCACTTCAATAAAGTAGGCAATACCGACCTTCCATAACTTGAGAAAAAGCGTCAATTAGGTGATTGCTCAATGAAATTCTATAGTCGAAGATGTTTAAAATCTGAGCCAGAACACCGTCGAAACTGCAGGGCTCTGAAATGAGATACATGAACAAGTGTAATAAAAAATAAGGCTTCTCCTTGTAGTAGTATCTTTCGCATTAAACCCCACTTTCAATTGATTTTTTGCCCAAGTAATCTGAAAACRTATATAGCCCTGAAAACATATACCTACTTGGGCAGTTCTTTGTGTTACAGCTGCGATTTTGCTCTGGATGCCCTACACAGTTCCTTCCTCCATTAGCAGGCTTAGGCTTCGTGCAGGTACGAGTTCTTTTTTGTATTCCATTATGTCCACAAAGTTGGTTACAAGATGACCAAGGTCCATAGCTAGACCATCCTCCATCAAGTTTATACCCTGTTAACAAACTCATTTTTCAATGTTTTTAAAAATGATAATATTGATGATGATAATGATGGTGATAATTAATTGACCAATAACAAACCTGGGCAAGGCACGGTTTTGATTGAGCAGCTTATGGCTGAACCTGATTTGGGGTAAACTTTCTTATTGTATGAAGGACATTTGRCTCGTCTATCCCTCTTCAACTCCAGACGGTATTGCTTTATTTCTCCGCATTTGCATGGTGACCAATCTACGAGAACGGAACATGCGATTAATTTTAATGTATGACTGATAAATTTTATGATTATAATGGAACAGAAAGCCGTTTGCCTGCAAGAAAGGGGGAGGATGACAAATCAATTACGCTGGGCTTTCACCACTGTTGCTCATTTTGAAGTCGATACATTTGAGGGAAACAAATAAAAAATCGAACAGAAATAGTCCTGGACAGGCTAAGTGATTCCCACGTCGACTGAGAAAATGAAACAGCCGGAAACAGAGTTAGGACCTTATACTAGCTTGAAAAGTAAAATGATACGATGTGGCTGATGACGATGGTGATGCATAGATGTTAAAGAGCCTTCTGAGGTCTACATATTCCATGTATTACCTGCCATATTGTAATAAACAAAGTTTGACCTACTCCATCCGACTCCGTATTGGTGGTAATTCCTACSACAGTTACTTGCACAACCGTGTTTATCATAAGCACCGGCATCATCAGACCCCTCACTCATTTTTATTCTGGATACCAAAATAGCTCATTTTTTTACTTTCCGCTCTTTTTCTACATTCTTGAAAGATGCGAAAAGAGCTGTGAGAGGTATGAACGAATCCAAGGAAGTTTTTCAAAGCACGATTTCCCGATGTGTCTTTATAACATCCAAGGGCACGCCATTGGTAGTCTAACAGATAACGAAAAAAGAACAAATATTCTGTGTAAACAATCAATTAATATATGATTTTATTTAGAAGGTGTTCTTAGATGATGATGATGATGATGATGATGATGAAAGCAACACAAAAATGCAGTAGCAAAACAAGGGTAGGTTACATACTTGCTTTGTGTTGACGATATGCTCCTACACCATATAAGCTTATCAGTCCTATCACGATTATGCCGCAAATAAGCTTAGCTCTCATTATAATTGGAACACGGAAATCTGAAAAATGTATATAATAATAACATTGAAGTGTGCGGGTAAAAAATGCACAGATAATAATGTTAATTTGTTATAACATGAACATAACAGATTGCACAAGGTTTTGAGCTGTATGTTGTATTATTGACACACCTTGACAGTCAAGCGCAGGGACAACTGTGTGAAACTTTTTTTATTAACCACATCTTTAGTCCAAAAATTAGTGAAAATCCTTCCTTTCTTTAAACTTTGTGTCATTACAGTATTATTCTCAAATTATTAGCTTAATTAATATAAACAGTCAAAGATGGAAACTATGATCTTTTAATCTTTTAATCGAACGTTTTAGGTGAAAGGTGGGCTTTTTGAGTCAGACAGAAAAAAAATTATTTTATATTATATATATTTTTTATTTTATATACTATTGTTTTATACAGTTTTGGACAGGTTTTTGAGATACGACGTTCGACATTCGTATCCGTCAGATGGGCAGACTATCACTAAAACTACACTTTAAGTATTCTGGCTCTGCCTCAGCAACGAATTGACGAACAGCGCCCAAACTACGCATGAATGTAGGAATAGGAACAAAGCTCACTAGCGCAGAAATCGAATGATCTACATGCAATAAAAATCGACATAACAATTTTTTGCTTTGAGCTTGAGTTTTATAATTTAAAACGCCTGCTCCCCGTGTATACGAGATCATATTTTAAGTTGCGCTCGACATAATTCGTCTAAAATTTTCACACACATTTGTAATACCACTAATAACAAGGTTCAGAAATTTTTTAAAGAAAATAGGGCTGGTTTGCGAAATATTCAARTTTAAGTGTTTTCCAGGATTTCCCCATAACTTGAATAAATTATACTCGATTTTCATGAAATCTATATATAACATATTTTGGTCTTTTATCCTTCATTTGACAAAATATTGACCGGATCAAAGCAAAATAAACTGCATTTCGATGCGTTTCTTTCGTAATGGTCGGTACTAAAAACAACTGTCCCCAGATACCTTAATCCATTGAAATCGAGTAGAGCCTTGGTATTGCCGGATTTCAAACCGTGTGGGACTGGGCAAAATCACCTAATTGGGTAATCATGACATAAGACTTACATAGAAAGAAAGCCCTTGTTGAGAAATGCAACATTTCAAAATTTGATGTAGATCAGTCCAATAATGAGCGAGATACAGTCTTTCAAATATTTTAATATTTCCAAAGAAATGTATGGACAGCCGTGAATGTGTCCTGAAAATGGTCAAAATTCGCACACATTTGCGGCTTCCCWTACATTTCTTTGCAAATTTTAGAATATTTGAAAGGCCGTAACTCGTTCACTATTGAACTGATTGACACCAGATTTTGGAATTTTACATTTCTCAACAAGGGCTTTCATTCTATGTAAGTCTTATCTCGTGAAATCTCGTGATCATCCAATTAGGGGATTTTGCCCAGTCCCCACTCGGCTTGAAATCCGGCAATAATGAATATAATGAACGCATTGGCAGATCTTTGGGTACTTATTAGCAAAATACAGTCTGTGGGCTGCAGGGCATATTATATTGTACTATCACCAATATGTGAAACTAAAGACTTCAAAATCTATTTGAATGTAAATGGTATTTTTCGATTATTTGTATTATACACATAATTGAAATAGACGTAGTCATGACCGAAAGGAAGCATCGGAAAACAAATAATATGATAATAACAGGGTTATAGAGACTAAAGATTGTCTGCACTGAGTAAATTGACTTTAATTTTTCTCTACGAAAAATGGTTTTAAAATTATTTAAAATGCCAACRCTAAATAATATCTGATTTTCTAATTTATATTAGTACATCGAATACTTTGAGCGTGAGCCGAATTTGGTCAAGCTTCGTGTGTCAAGAAACCAAAGGTTCACCAAATAAAAGGATTTTTTTTCCAAATCATTGCAASCTCAACAGTCTTCTAGTTTCGATGCAAAGGCACGGCTATGTTCCAAGATGGCGTAGGGAACCGTGAAGCTAGGAGACTATTATAAATTGAAGATATTACATGGGCGCTCGGAAATACGGATTTTATTTTCGAGTGTTGAAAAGATCTCTCACGAGTGAGCGTATTGAAAATACCAACTTTTCAAAAGAGAGAAATATAGGTATTCCATAGATAATCACATATGATAAAATGTAATGTTATACGACATTGGTTATGTATTTTGTAACCATGATACATTTAAATAAATTTTATGAATGGTTACCTGCACAGCACTGGTAAACTTCTCCAAGGCAATACTCAAAAGAAAAGATGCTGCAAGTTTATATAAAAACATTGTGCACCAGCTGTTAACAGACCATCGGCAGTTGGGTAATATCATGACTCGTTACATGAATGGATGTAAACTAGCGGCGAAAATATTCAGATCACCTAACGGGAACCAAGGCTTCGTGTACGGCATACACCTTTGTTTAAAAAGAAATGCTTTCTTTTAACGGAGTTTGTCTATAGAATTCCATCTGGGAATTGCTGTCGATTCTAAACTATAGGCGTAACGAAGATAACGATTTCCTTAGTGAAATAACACG